CCACAGCCTCTCTCTCTGGTGGAGGGCTGTGACCAGGGGGTTAGGATGGGAGGAAGGAGTCTAGGATAAAGCTATGGAATTTGTCTCTCTAGAGACAAGGGTTCTTAACCTGGGAGGATGGGCACTCAGGGATCTGTGAACTGACATTGTAAGCAAAATTTTGCATTTGTACATGTGACACTTTCCTGAGAAAATTCATACACCCAGTGCCCTGGTGTGTGGTTCAGGGTCACAAGGAACGGAGATGATGGGCACCAGCTCCCCTAGTGTGCCTAAAGGCGCCTTGTTTTTTTCTCCCAAGGTTGGGCGGGATTCTAATATAAAAATGCAGGAAAGGAAAGTACTGATAGCAGGGAAAGATTTCTCATATTTCTATCCTTAAAAAAAGCTCTGGTTGTAAATCTTAAAAAACAGAACATAACCTGGATTCCAGGCCCAAGTTTGCCAGGGACGCAGTAGTATGACCTCAGGAAAGTCCCCACAGTGCCCTAGGCCTCCCTCCCCGCAAGAGGCAAGATTCTAAATTCCAAGATCCACATTAGTTTATGTTTTTGTATCCGTCTTATTCTTTGCTGTTTTCTAAAATTCCTAATATGATACTGTAGTGTTTAACAATCAACTCTCTGGAGGAAAACCTACGTTTATAATGTTTATCGTTTTCCATGGTGTGAATACTCCAACCAAGGTTGATTTTGAGCTACCAGAGTGAAGTCCGTGAAGGCAGATTCGGGGAGAGGTGTGTATAGTGGGCTCCCCGTGAGAGCCCACACCAGCACACCGCTGGTTGCTGAGCCCCTTCTAGTGTGAGTGGCCCCCTGGCCGCTGTCACCTGTAAAGCTGGGGTGCAGTTTCTGTCACGTTGCCGCTGTTGAGTGTTCTGTGGTCTTTGCAGCATGGCATGGTCCTTCCCTCAGCAGCTTTGTTTTTCTCTCAAGTTATGAGTATAAAGATTCAAGCTTTGTCGATTGTCACTAACTCGCCCTAAATATAGTGGTTTTCAGAGCTGGTTGTGATAATTCTGTAGAATGGAATGGACACGTCACAGGAGTAACCACAACACAAGGTGTCCTCACCAACTGAGCGCACTGGTCTCCTTCCTCCACCACAGTGCTCACACTAGCCTGGGAGCCTTGTTTATGCTGTCCCCTCAGCCTGGCGTGCCCCTTTTTCTGTCTTTATTCTGCCTACCACACATGGCCCTGTTCATGCCCTTGTCTTCAGCAAAGCCACTGAAGGCTAACTTCCAGGCGATGGCGCTACAAATGACTAAAACCTAATTTTCAAAAGGCATGCATATGCCTCATCTGAAGTCCCAGGTCACAGAGATGGGCCACTATTTGAGGACTTAATAAAGGGTTGATGAATATTGTGATTTTATGTTTGCATTCATGAATAACAGCCCTTCCGATTAGAATTTAAGACCCAGAGACCAGGAGCTACAGCATAAACTTCTCTCCTGCCCCAATAACCTAATATGGCAGTAGTCGCTAGCTGGATAGAAGCCTTCCCTACCTGCACAAACCCTCAGCAGCGCCCCTCAATGCTAAGTCTGTGCACAAAGCTACACATCATTTTACCTTAATTTCAACCATCGTCTTTTGCCAAATGTTCCATATAATAATGCTAACATTTATTGAGAAGTTATTCCATGCCAAGCTCTGCTCTAAGCTCAGCATTGTCTTAGAATGCCCATAACAGCTCTGGAGTCGTATGTGTATCATTATCCTCGTTTCCCTCATCAGGAAATGTACTCAGGCACAGAGAGCTGATAGGACAGGGCTGGGATTTGAACCCAGGTTGATCATACCCTTGAGCTACACTATACTGTCCCTCAAATGCGGTGGTCTCGTCTCCGCCAACTAAGCTCCGTGGGGACAAGCACCACATCTCACACTTCACACCCTCAAGCACCCATCTTAGGATCTGGCTAATATTTGGTGAATATGAATATCCATTGGCTCAATTTTTTAAAAACATGCTTTAACCATATAATTTCTACCCTGAATCATGTGTTCTCTTTAGTGAACCTGTTCCAGCTAGATATCTCTGTGAAACAGGGACGGGATAAAGTCCGAGATATGTTTATGAAGAATGCCCACGTCACAGACCCCAGGGTGGTGGATCTTCTGGTCATTAAGGTAACTGACCCTTCCTGACCCTTTTAAAGAGCAGCTAATCTACGGCCATGCCACCTTGAACGTGCCTGATCTTGTCTGATCTCGGAAGCTAAGCAGGATTGGGCCTGGTTAGTACTTGGATGGGAGACCACCTAGGAAGACCAGGTGCTGTAGGTGTAAAATAAATGAATGAATGAATATAAAAAAAGTAATAATAAAAGAGCAGCTAACTTGTCCAGAGCTTTTCAGTCTTCCCAGATGAACATTTGTCTCCAGGTTTTAAAAGCAACTACTGGATCAGCAGCTGTTACTTAGTGTTTCAAAGAAACAGTTGAACTTGGAGGTTATCACCTGGTTAGGTAGTTTGCAAGATGGTTCAAGGGAAAATCCATTGGAACTTGTATTTTATAACTAAAAAAAAAAGATGTAGAGAGGGAAGTTTGAATTCTTCTTGAACCTCATCCCTAGAAGTTACTGCTTCACCTGGTTGCCAGCTTACAGCTAGGAGAGGTAGGCTGGTTGCCTGAGTCCTGTGAAAATGGGGTCAAATCCTGGCCCCGATTCTCTCTCTAGTTGGTCACATTAGCACCGATGGGAGCTTTAGCATGGACCAGTAACTAACGTGGGAGAAATGTTAAGCAGAAATGTAAGTTAAGCCAGTCAGGTTAGGCATCCTGGGGCTGGGGCCTGCTGACCTGGACGTCTCTCCTCAGACCAGTTAGCCACAGAGTTAAAAGAATATTTGAAAGGCCTCAGAGATCATTCAGTGCCACCACCTCATTTTTCTGATGCAAAAAGTGTGGTTTAGACAGTACATTACTTACCCAGAGTGACTCGAGTCAGTGCCAGAGCATAGAATGCCGGCCTTCCGTGTCGTATTCCTTTTACTCAGCTGCTTTGACTGAAGACCTCTCCCCTCACTTGTGCAGGGAAAAATGGAACTGGAGGAAACGATTAATGTGTGGAAGCAGCGGACACATATCATGCGGTTCTTCCATGAAACAGAAACGCCAAGGCCAAAGGATTTCCTGTCCAAGTTCTACATTGGCCACGACCCATGAAGTCACTCAGTGGAAAGGTGCATGTTAATGTTTAAACACTTTAGAGCACAAATAAACTCGGCATATGATGGTCACGTCATGATAGGGTTCCACTGGCGAACCAACGGGAAGCTCTGTTTCTGCAGTCTCTCTCACTTATTGCCTGAACAAGCGGGGCAGGGTGTACACACCACCTGTTCTTTCCCTTTTCCTGAAGTGTGGTGTTTCCTGTAAATTGGATTGGATTCTCTTTCTCAGAGCTTCACATGTTGGTAAACAGGAAGGATGAAGCCATCTGTTCAGAAACTGTCATACTGAGTATGAGGCTGGATGGCTTCATTAATTTAGCTGTGTTTCTCCAGCCTCCGGGATTGGATAGTTTAGTGTCACGGCACAGATTATCCAAAATTAGTCAGCTCTTGCTGTTGGCGACGGATCAGAGCAGCACTAAGAGGTGCAGAAGTAGAGCTGACAAGCTGGGCTATTTTTCCCTGGGTCTTGAAGAAAATGGCTGCTCAGAGGCCTAGCCCTTCTGCTTGCAACAAGCAAGGGTCTTTAAAATGAAATTAACTTCCTACTCAGTTAGGCTCCCTGCTAGGGGCACAGCTGCTCAGTGTGCACACAGAGAACAGAAATATTCCAACTGTTTATGCAAATGGGTGTAGCTCTAAAGTGACAGAATAAATGTTGACCCAGGTTAAAGAACTGATCTCTGTTTGCTTTGGATGGTAATCCTCTCTGGTCCTCCCCTGAACAGTCTGAATGCTAGAGAAAGGGGTTCGGTATAGGTACAATTATCCCGAGGATTCCCACATTTTTCAGCACCAACGACCCCTTTATTATCTTTTCATCTAAGGAACCTAAGTTTTGAAAGACTCATTCTAATAATGGTATCTCTCAAGTAGTTTTAAACTAACAGTCAAAGCTCCTATGATTGGCATGTGACAATTAGCTAGTGTTACTCAACGCAAAAAAAAAAAAAAAGGTTTAATTACCCTATGCAACTTCATTGAGGGAAAGCAGAGTTTCTGTTAGGTTTTTATAAATAATGAAAATAGGTCCCAAACCCCCATAATTATGGATCCATGAGGGCCCGGAGATCCTCGGTTGTAAATCAAAGGCCTATTACAGAAAAGACAGCGGAGACCAGAAACTGCAAGACTAGAGCCTACTCGCACTGAGGAATTCCGGCCATCACTCAGTCATACAGAGCTGAGGTTTATTATGTTTATTCATCATCTGATTGGCTCAATGGACAGCACACCTCAGGGAACCTCCCAGAGCCTGGGACTCTGGGCTGTGGTTACGGACCATGCAGGAAGCTTCACTGGAGCTGGGAGGCTGAGGGCTTTCCCTGGGCCCTTCCGCTGATAGGCAAGGAGGAGAGGCTGTGAGCATCACCATTTCTTAATTTCTGTACTTCCTCCATGACCTGTAAGAAAGGAAGGCAGCAGTAAATTGGGCAACAGCAGTCCTTTATCCGTGTACCGAAAGAATTCCACAGAGCGGTCCTACCAGTGTCAGTTTTGAGTACATTTGATTATCTATTCAGACATTTACTGAGCATTCACCACAGACCAGGCACTGGGGGCCCAAAGGTATGAAAAACATGTTCCCCGCCAGCAAGAAGCTCATGGTCTAGTAGAGTTTGGGGGGTGTGTTTTAAACACAATACTGAGGGCCATAAGAGAGGTACTAGTCAGAGGAAGGAGCAGTCACTTTCAAATGGAGGCATGCAGGAAACCTTCATCAAAGACAGTGAAGAATTGGTGGAAATAAGACAGCAAGTCTTCCCAAGTGGGAGGAACAATGAGCCAATGCCTGGGAGTGAGGAAGAACATGAGTAATTCAGGAAACGGTGAATACTGGGGATAAGCATGGAAGATGCGAGTGAGTGACAGGTGTGATCAGATCACAGCAAGCCTGGAATGCCAGACTAAGGAGTCAGGAGTGTTATTATCTACAGCAGTAATGCAGCCACGCAGCACCTAGCAGGGCACCAGAAGTCAACACAGGAAAGCCAAACGGGACAGGCACTGGGGGAAGGGTTCATGAGCAGTAGTGACCAGGCTCCGGTGCCCGTGTATAGGTGTCTGGGTACAGAGCTTGGTAACCAGAGCTGTCCCTGGTGAGAAACTGCAGTTTGTAAATTTCCATGTGGAGCACTGAAATGAAGCTGTGGTGGGTGTGTAAGGCGTGTTAAATTGTCGAGAAAACTTGGGGGTAATGAGAAAGAGGGTACATAAAGGGCAAATGAAAAGCCTGACTGGGATCCAACCTAGTTGGAAAGAGACCCCAGTAAATTTGTAAGTCAATAGTTTCCGTCATCCAACATAGAGAAAAAGGCAAAATAAAAAACATTAGCCAAGTGAGTCAATTTACTGCTTCAAGTATCCAGATGCTACTTGCTACCAGGCCAGACTGCATCATAGTTCAGATGCTCCCTCTTCCTGCTCCTGGTCTATGTAGGGGAATAGCAAGCCTTACCTGTTTAGTCGTCGTCGTCATCGTCCTCTGGGACAAAAATGTCATGCTCCTCAAGTAGAGCAGCAAAGTTCTTGCTAATGAGCGTCCCAACATAGAGAAAGGGGATCACAATGGAGAACACACGGAGAAGGCCGAAGGACATCTGCAGAGGGGACTGCCTTTTCAACCACTGGATCCTGGTTTTGCCATCATTGTTTTAATATTGGAGCGGTGGCTGAGCTCCAGAGCCCACTACGGCAGGACTGCAGAAGGCCTGGCCTCCTCAGGGTCATTTCCTCCTGTGGACCCCAGACCCATCATAAGCAACTTGATTTTAAAGTCTTTGGGAAAATTCAGAGCAAGACAAATAATTAGAAGAGATAAAGTGATTTTACGGTCATCGAAGTGGATACTGGAAGGAAAAGCATAAGGTACTTAGACGTCTAAAAATTGGGGCACAACCTGGTATTTGCAGATACCCAACAGATGAGAAAGTACTAAGAGGGCTGGACTATGGAAAGAGAGTTTAGCCCTACTTGAAGACACTAAATTCATGAAAATGGATTACAAAAAGATGTACAGTGAAGGACAGTCTATACAGTTCTTCAATAGTTTCCTTGGTGACAGAAATTTGACTTTACCACATTAAATTTTAGAAACGTGTTTTGAGAAGTGAACATGCCTTTACACTGAAAGCCTAGCTATTTAGATGGACCTGGGGGAGTTTCAGTAAACTCTCAACATCTCTTATATTTTCCTATGGAGTTTTAAAAAACTAATTTTCAGCTATGCCTTTTTATAAGGCATCTCTTCCCCAGCACGGACCGTGCATCTTCGTGCTTCCTGCTGTGAAACAACCCTGAACACACTTGTCTGTGAACTAGCACAGGCCGGACTAGCTTTTAAGAATTTTTGTTTTCTAACTCCCACACAGTCCTGAAGTCAAAAGCAAACTTGTTTGGTATACGGAACTGTTTCCATTTTCCTTAGGAAACCCCAAGGGTACTGAGGGCACGTGAAAGCATTCAGTGGTGGAAAACTGGGATCCGGTGGGAGTTGTACCAGCAGGAAACCTGGATTCCAGAGCCTAACTCAGCGGCTAGCTTCGGACACTGGCTTCACCTCTCTGACTCCCCGATTCTTCATTTGTAAAAACAGTGACTGAAATAATCCCCTGCACACCCCTCAGAACTGCAAATCACATGGCTTAAGTACTAGGTCAAAACTAACAAAGGTAAGGCACGTACACTTCATTTACAAAGTCCTGTCGTAACTCATCCCATAAACTTTATGAGGTAGACAGGGCAGAGATTACACCATTTGTCCATACTGGATGCATAATGCCGTTTTCTGGCTCCGGAGACCTAGGCTCTGCGCTCACGATAAGCTAGTGCAAAATGCCGTCTTCCTCAGTAGTTGCTGCCCAGTTTCACTCTCCCTACATCCGGCTCACAGCAGGACCTAACCTGACCATTTCCTCCCACCTGTCAAAATCAGCAACGCTTTAGCGCAAAACTTTGTCCTTGATCCGTCTTCCGGCCTGACGGTCATATGATTGGCCATTGCTCCTGTCAATCAACGTCGACCCGTACATATTCCCACCACGATTGGCCGCGTCCCCTTCGCCCCGCCTCCAGGTAGACACTCACTTTCACCGGTTTGGGCAAAATGGCGCCGCTGCGAGTAACGATGACTGACCTCGACGGTACCAGGCTCAACCCCGAGTCGCCCTGTCTGGCGGAGATAGCGCCATTTTCCTTCCAGCTCGCCCCGCTCCGGAGAGCCCTGGATCGGACGGGTGCCAATGCCAGCCAGCGAGCCGCTCCGGACGCCATCTGCAGCTCCGCCCCTAGCCCCGGCACCGGGACCCCAGCGCCTAGCCCCGGTGACGGCCTCGGAGAGAACACCGCCCCAAGGCTCGCGAGGCTTTCGGGAACCAAACGAGAGGCCCAGCTTCACATTCGCGCAGTCCAGCCTAGTTCCGGTTGCGATGGGAAGGCGGCATTTGTCACGAGCCCGACGTGGTGACGTCACGAGGGTGACACCGAAGCCCCAATTCCCCGCTTCATTCCAGGCCGAGTGGGCGGAATCGTCAGCTAGGATAGTCACCTGGGATCGTCCGTGTGAAGCCTTAAGATTTCTGTCATTGTTCCCCACACAGGACAGCCAGGGCTTGGCAGAGCAGCCCGCGGGTGATTGTTAAAATAAATTTGAGTAACCGAAATGAGTAATAAAAAATTTAGTGTTTTAATCGTACAAAAAATACTGTAACAATAAGAAAGATAAAAAGCCTGGAGTATCTCTATGCAACAAGCCGAACAGGAACGGGTCCTGGACCCTGGGCCCGCATCTCAGCCTGCTGGCCTTGGTCAGGCTGCCCGAGGCCCCAGTAAGGGAGAGAGAGACTAACAAGGGGCGGATTGTATATACTGGAGGTGGGAGTGGGTCACGGTGGGGGAGGCTCTCTGCATCTTGCATCCACCTAATGCCACCATGGCCCTAGGGCATCAGGCCAGTCTGAACTCTGGCTCTATGGAACCAGCCACTTTGCCTCCCAGAGCAAAAAAGAAAACACCTGGCCTGCTGGTGAGAGTAGAATGAGAGGGGTCTTGGCAGGTACACACTGGGTGACAAGCAGGACAGTGAACGAGTTCCCAGGTGGTTTTAGGAGCAAGAATACTTCTTTGGGAGCCCAGGCAGGAAAGAATTTATCACAGGGTACCAGGAATCCTGTGCCCAACCTCCTAGAATGCCCAGGACTGAGAACCAACACAACGAATGGGCTTTCCCTGGCAGCCACACTGCCCGCCCACCTCTTCTTTAGCTTCTCACTTGGCAGCTGGCTGCTGTAGGCTGAGTGCAGGAAGGATTTCTGCTGTAAAAGCTGGGTCAACATCCAGCACCATCTGTTGACAGGACAGCCAGGGAGAGGGAGAGAGGATGGGACCCCAACACTTTCTGAGTAGAAGAAATCCCTCTGTATTGGCTGAAGGCCCTCTCCCTCCAAACGGCCCTTTCCAGACTGTAGGGGAGGGCGGGGCAGTGAGGTGTACGGTTACTGGTCTTCCCACCAATCAGGAAGCACAGAGCCCCAGAAACCCCCATGATATAACTACTTTCTCTGATAAGGTCAGTCTGCGATGCCAACACCAAAGCCAATTTCTGGTAAAGGCACACAAGACTCCCCATGTTGGAAATTTTGGCTGAGGCTGCCATGTAGGTGAAAGGTAGGATGGCCGGTGGTCACGTACTATTCGCCACTTCCTCCATTTCAGTAACGTCCCCTGAGTGAGGGGCAGTCCAGGACAGTGTCAGGGTACTTGGGCCTCATTGGTGACTGCTGAGCAAGCCACCTTTCCTCTTTGCTCCTCGGGAAATAAAGGGGTCAGAAGTAATGATTCCTCAGTCCCCTCCAGGCACAAGGGTGGATCTGGAACCTGGAGAGGGCCTAAAAAGCAGGAAGGAGAGAAAACTGCGTCCCTAAAAAAAAGCAACTTTGTGTTTGTTTTTTTATGCCTACAGCACCCAGTCTTCCTAGGTGGTCTCCCATCCAAGTACTAACTAGGCCCGACCCTGCTTAGCTTCTGAGATCAGACAGGATCTGGCATGAAAATAAAGCAACTTTGGAAATGAGTAAACATCAAACTCCTGAAAAAGCACTGGCCTTGCTGTCCTGACCAGCAGGACAAGGGCAGAACCCTAAGGGCCCAGGCTCAGGGCCTGTCCTGTTTCTCACATTCTGGCTGACTCTCCTTGGTCCTCTGCAGCCACCTCCGCCTCAGCTCCAGGATCTCCTGGCCGTACCAATCGTGCAGAGTAGAGAAGCAAGAGGTCTCAGGGGACACGGGGCTCTGTCCCCTGCCTAAGAGGCTGGCAGCGCCCTGCAACTCACACTCAGCCAAGCCCCACCCTGCTGGCCTGCTGCCCCCTTCTTCCACCAGGCCCATGGGGCTCCAATCCCTGGAGAGGCAGTGGCCATTCTCTAGGCCCCAAGGCAAGTGGTCAGGAGCCTGGGGCTTACAGCGGCTGGTAACGACCTTCATGGATGAGTGGCGATGCAAGGCTAGGCTCTGGCGGGCATCACGCAACTGGCTCTCCAGCTCACGCACCACTAGGCGCATGTAGCCAAAGCTTGCCCGGGAAAGCGCCTTCACCCAGGCCTCCTGGGCTGCCGGCCCATCAGCTGCGAGCAGGTATGGGCGCACACCAGGGGCGTCGAAGCGGACGGCGAAGGCAAACTCCTCGGGCACAGGAGCCTCGGCCAGCTCCACCGTGCAGCCCTCCAGCACCACCAGGCCCAGCGGGGCCCGGGCCTCTCGACTCTCGAAGGAGAACAGCAGGTTGCCTTTGAGGACAAACCAGCACCTTCGGCCAGTGCCACTGTGGGTGGGGGGAGTCCCTGGCCCCCCCCAAGTGCGCAGGAAGCCCGTGTGGTCTGCTGGGGAGTTGCTCAGTGCATAGTGGGCCACACTTCTCTCGTTCAGCTTCATGGTCCCATGAGAACTGTGAGGCAAGAGAGGTGGCCGTGGATAAGAGACGGAGGCAGCCCATGTCCCTTTCTTTCAAAGGGTTGTGTGAGGGCCACGCAAAACACTGGACACCAGAGGACTCAGACGAAAGGATAATGGGGTTGTATCCGACCAGGAGGTATGGCGGGCTTTGACACGGCTTTTGAAAATCCAAAGAAACAGGACTCAGCCGAGCTGAAATAAACCCCACATCCACAGAAACCATTGTGCTTAAACCATCCTCCAATTTGGGGGCCCCTTAGCACCAACCCTGAGGTCAAACCTCCAGGGTTTCTATGACCCTCCTGCCTCATGGAAGGAAAACTGAGGCCCAGAGCAGTGAAGGTGAACTGCACAAGGTCACATGGCCAGTGAGAAGTAGAACTTGTTCTGACTCCTTCACAACTCCTGGGGGCAAGTCTTGGCAACAACCCACTTACCAGCAGAGCTTGCTAGGCGCAGGCAGGGGCCTCTCTTGTCTGGCCACAGGGCTCAACCCTTTGATCACGTGACTCCCAGTGCACCTGCAAAATAATTCTCAAACCCAGTCAGCCCATCCTAAGGGAAGAGAGCTCTGAGCCTTTGGGCCCCAGTGAAACCACCATCTCCTCCAGGAAGCCTTCCCTGACCCTATAATCCCCTACCCACTCACCCACCCAGGCCAGGCTCCTAGGAGTATTTTAAGGGACTGGGGCCTATTGTCCTGACCTTCACTATTCAGATCTCAGCTCCTTGGCCCCTGAGGCTAGGTCAGAGTTCAGTGCCCTCATAGCTTCTGGTTATTCCTTTCTAGCACTTGTCACACAGTTTATGTGTAGGCTTTTAGATTCACCCAATCTGAGAGGACTGCCCTGATCACTGCATCTAAGGTCCTCCTGGATCACCAAGGTGGCCTGATTCAAGATGACCCGGCCAACAGCCCCCTCAATTGTTTTCATTTCCTTCAGCCCACAATGACCTCCTTCGTGTTTACAGTGCTGACCCCAGCCCCAGAATGTCTCCAGCGGGACTTGGCTTGGCTCCTGGTGTAACCCCAATATCCAGCCCTGAGCAGGGCTAGCAGAGGCCCTTAGGCAGTATTTGTTGAAGCAACTGGGAATACAACGGTGGACAAATTAAAGGCCCGCCCTCCTGGAGCTTACGTTCCAGGGTGGAGACACACTGTAAACAAACAGACGAAAATAATAAGTGAATTTAAAATTAACTGAATAGTAAATAACGGAAGGACGGGTCGTGACAAGGGCTATGAGAGAAAGGAGCAGCGTCCTGGAATGAAGGAGGAGCGGTTCTAGCGAAGTAATCACAGATGTTTGCTGGAAGAGTGGCCTCACCTCGGTCCGGGGCCCAGCACCCGGCGCAGGGAGGGGGTCCGGAGAGTGGGTCTGTCCCTCCTCCCCCGCCGCGTGCCTGGTTAGGGCGCTCCCCACAATCCCTCCCAAGGGTGCGAGGTTCGGACCGCACACTCGGCGGGTGGCCTGTGCCCCGCGTCTGTCCGGATTGTTTTTTGTTGGAGAATCAGTGGGTTGGGGCGCTGGACCCACCGGCCAGCGGCCGCGGGTGGGCCCTGAAACGGGGGTCTCCTATCAGGAGCTCCCCGGGGCTGGGCGGCTCTCTGGGTTTCGCGGTCCGCGC